AAGTCCTACTTGGATAAGGCAGCTAAGAAGATGAAGAAGTTTGCGGACCGTAAGCGGCGTCCCCACAGACTATAGAGTTGGGGACATGGTCATGGTGAAGTTTAACCCAAGACAGTTCAAGGCATTACGGGGCATGCATCAGAATCCGATTCGCAAGTACGAGGGGCCATTTAAGATCGTCGCCAAGGTAGGCAAGATCTCATACAAGCTTGACATGCCATCGTATCTTAAGATCTACTCTGTCTTCCATGCCAGCATGCTTAAGCCATATCATGAAGATAAGGATGATCCGAGTAGGGGCCAATCAAGTCGAGCGTCAATGACTATCACCGCCTCACATGATCGGGAGATTGAGGCTATCATAGATTATCAGGCCAAGCAAAAACAAGGGCAAAAAGCCACCGCTATGTTCCTCATCCATTGGAAAGGGCAATCACCAGAGGAGGCCACGTGGGAACGATATGAAGACTTGTGGCAATTCAAAGATAAGATTCGAGAGATTATGTAGCAGCATTGCGCCGCGGTCATCGCAATATTGGGTGGGGGAGAGTGTGATGACCCGCCACATCATCATGCCACATAGGCGTCATTTGACATATATTAATACCATATGGAAGCTTACATAAGAAGAAAGCTAGCATTTGTGAGAAGATTCTAGAGAAGTATGGACATTTCCTTAGGAAGAACCTAGATCCTTTTGGATTTGCTAGGAAAGTCCTTGGAATCTTCTAGGCTTGTAGAGAATTCTAGAGAAAACCCTTATCTGTAAATATCAAGGACTTGTATAATAATTAATATTTACACACTAGCCCCTAGGAGACTAGTATATTTGTAATTCATCAAGCAAACAATTCAAGTTCTCTCTAACACAAAGCTTTCTTGAATAATTCTCTTGTGTTCTTTCTTCCATTCTCTTAGCGATCTTGAAGGTAGTAAGACTGACTTGGCATAGCAAGAACGTGAGCAAGTTGTACAAGATCGTGAGCGAGTTGTCAAGTATCGCACGTGTACTTAGTTAACAACTAAGGACGTGGCATCTGCCTCTGATTAGAACCACAAATTTCAATGTAACCTGGCATAATCTGCTATTACTATTCAAGTTGCAACCTTAAATATGAAAAAAAATCCTTGATAGGGAGCGCTTCCCCCGAATGGGCTCTATACAGCCGAATCCGGATATAATCAAACCCCAATAGAGATACCAGACACCGGATGAGAAACTAAAAATTAAAGGTTGCAGACCTACGTATAATAATACCTTTTTCCTCATACATTACATGTTGCTAAAAGATCAGAACTATAAGTTAGTAACATCTCCCATAGAGACGAATTGCAATATCAAGGAACAAAATTTTAGACGCATTTGCTTAACAAGAAAAATTGGAAAGCCAGAGAAAGAAGATTATATGCAACATCACATCTAATTTCTAAAAGTAAAAATAAAATAAAATAAAATAAAATAAAATCCCTTGAATAGACCGACCATCTCAAACATGACTCATTCTTCCCTTCCCTAGTGGATTCTGTTCTTTTTCTTTTTCTTGTACATGTTTTAATTTAGCTATTTATTTGACTTGAATAATTCCTGCACTAACCAACTTCTGGATCTTGTTCATCACAAGAGGGTTCTTCATATGTTCCTGTGCAGCTTTGGGGTTCTCCTGGAAGTCAACTAGTACCTGCTCGAGAACACGATATTCAGATTACAATATCGACGTGCTTCAGTAATCCACCAATATTACACTGTACCAAACTTTACCTGTCTCATTACTGGATCTGTAAGGATGTTTTGAATTACCGGGTCCTGCATTGCCTTGGCCTGCGGAAAATAATTTGATAGGAGTGTCACCATATAAAAGTTGCCACCAACTAAAGCAAGAATAGACAATATGAGACGAATTTATACCTGTCTCTCTTTGAGCTCCTCCGGAGTTAGATCACCACGTGATGCCTTGTTTATTTGTTCTACACATCTGCAAAACAAAATCCAACACATCAAGTTATTACATTAACTCATAGCGCGCCTCAAAACCACATTCCGCTTATAGCCATAAAGAGTCTTGGATTCAAATTCCCATCGCCTAATTTGCTGAATGACTATCGAAGGGAAGATGATCAGGTATCTAAGAGTATCAGTCAGATACCCAACAACAGTCCCATTCTAAGAATCAAATATACAAGAAACTCAACAGGTCACTGAGAATATTAAAATGAAGCAATACCGAAGATAAAAGGAAAATAACAGAAATTTTTCTTTACCTCCTGACACCATCCAGCAGTTCCTGATTTTGAGCATCATGCTTCAACCCCTCCTGGTAAGTTTCCAAGGCTTTCTCATACTCCTTCATAAAGAACTGAATAGCACCCTTTCTAGTGTAACCTTTCGCAAATGTTGGATCAAGCTCAATGCATTTTTCTGCATCTTTAAGACCCTCCGGCAATGCACCTAATTTTGTGTAGCAGGCTGCCCTGTTGCTGTATGCCTAACATAAAGAAGAAGATGCAACACATCAACAAAAGTTTATAACAAGAAATAGGCAAAGTCAATAGATTCTACAGAGGAACAAAAGATGGAAGGAGGCAATACCCTTGGATCTTTGGGATTCCTCCTTAAGGATTCTGTATAGTGCTTAACTGCATCAGGATACTTCTGCTCTTTGAAAAACTGGTTACCTGTAATCAAAGCAAAGAAGTTATTTTCACAGATTAAGAAAGAACACAAGTAAGAGAAGCTGTAACAGCAATAGAGGTACCTTTCTCACGCTCCTCATCTGCTATTTGTGGATCGTAATACTCTTGCTGCTCCAATTCTTTCTTCGCCTTCTCAGCATCATTGAGTCTTTTCAGTGTATCAGGATTCCGGTGTTCGGTAAGAGCTTTCTGGAAAGTCTCAATTGCAGGTTCATAATCCTTTGAAGTTTTTGCCATCTTTACTAGGGCAGTTCCCTTTCGAGTGAGAGCTCTTGCAATCATCTTATAGTCTGACCTGAGCTCCCTTCCCCTTTCAACAGCTTTGTCACAATCTTTCATGCAATCTTCATACTGAAATTAAGACAAACTAACATAAGGAAGAGCTCCTGATAGACTATTTATGACTTAAAGAAAAACCCCACAGAAGTATACAGAAGGTGATCGCAACACCACATCAGCAGAATGATATATTTAGGTTCTAAATGCTAACCTTGCCATAGTGAAACAAGAGGAGCAAGGGACCTTGAGGGGTGATGGGTTGGGGAAGTGCAACTCAGTACCATGTTTGCTTAACATACTAGTATCAAGCAATGCAGGTCAAACGAGTTGCAACTACACATGGCAACACAGATTGAAAAAGATTTTAATAAGAAAACATGTTACCTGCTTTAGATTTGAAGATTGGTTTTTTTCTTTTCTTTTCTAACAGTATTTGAAGACTGGTAATTTAAAAAGAAACAACATTATCACCTTACGTCAATTAGCCAATTAGGTGCTGAATCTAATAGTCCAACAAAGAAATAACATACAAAAAGGGCAACTGACTAATCGTATGGAAATCTTTCTTCAATACTCACATAAAATTCCAACACCAATGTGCCCCATGCTAAAAACTATCAAGCTCGTTACCACTATCATCATTTATCCAGCAATTCCTTTACCAATGAGAAAAGCATCAAACTTTCCTAGAAGTATGGAATATATGTGAGCTTAGCATCCTATGCGAATCACATTACTAGTTCCAATCCTGAGTAAAGATAGAATCTTGCATAAGGTATCGCCATAGTAAAACAACTCTAACTCGTTTGTTTGAGGCATAATAGTGTTATTATATCATAAACATACACTAGCACTTAAATTGTTGAATTTCTTCAAACATGTCAATATTATGCACAAAATAAGGATAAAAGCAAGCAACTTCATAGGCATACAATATAAAAATATCGAAGTAAGTTATATACACTGACATGTAAATATTTTTCTACACTTTCAGTGAGTTTACCTGGGATAGCAACTTATTTACCATTTTTACCAGATTGCTTATTAATGCTTATCAAGAGACTAAGCTGCAATTATCTAATAAGTAATCCGATTCTCGCTCAATGCACAAAACTTAAACTCAATATAATATATAAACTCAATATAATACCAAAGATTTGGGTATACCTTGCCCATCTCCAAGTACACAGCAGCACGGTTAGTAATGAAAGAAATATCCTCATCATCAAGCTCAATTGCCTTACTATAATGCTGAATTGCCGTCTCAAAATCTTTCTTTTTATATGCCGCATTACCAGCCTCCTTCTCCTTCTGCGCCAGCCCTTTCCTCTCCTTCGTCTGCTTCTCCTCCTCCGACACCTCCCTCGGTTCGGGCCTGAACCCAGGCGCAGCCCGTTTCTCTTCCTTCACCGGCTCACTCTCCGCAGGCCTTTTTCTCTCCGGCGAAGCTTTCACCTCCGGCATCTCCGCATCCTCCTCCTCAGGCGCCCTCGTATCCAATTTCACCCCTAACAAAACCCCAAACGCCTGCATTACCCTCTGATCATTCAAATACAAATTCAAATTATTCGGATTCTTCTGAATATCTTGCATCATTCTAACAAAATCAGGCTGCTGCAAATAAGCCCGCGTACGCGGATCACTCGTCAACTTAGCCCACATCTCCGGCCCGGAGAACGCATTGCCAAACGGAGTAGCCGGACCTGGGCCCGATCCTCTAAATCGGGCTTGAGCCTGGGCTGATTGAGCATCAGCAAACCCGGACTTCAAAACCCCATTATTAGGATCAATTTCTAAACCCTTTTTATAAGCCAAAACAGCATCATTATATTTTCTAAGGCCTAATTGAGCAGCGCCGAGCCGAGAATAACCTTTCGACCAATCCGGCTTCAGCTCGACGGTTTTTTCCGCGTCGGCTAAGGCTTCGTAGAATTTGTTCAGTGAAGCGTAAGCTGCTGATCGATTTGAATATAAAACGTGATTGGTCGGAGATAGATTGATCGCTTCAGTGAAGTGGCGGACGGCGTCGGTAAAGTTGCCGGCGGCGAATGCTGAATTGCCTTTGGCCTTTGCTTCATCGGCCATTGTTTTTTGCTATTTTTTCCGGCGAGATTATTTTGGTTTGTTTGTTCTGTTTAGAGAATTTGTGTAACATGGGAAAGGGGAGGGGTTTAAAAGAGGGGGGTGGGGTGAAAAGAGGGTTCTAGGCGTGGTTGTTAAGATTCTGGAATGTTCGGAGACGAAGGGAGTTCCTGGAATCTCTGCATTATTGTACTAGAAATCTTTTTTATACAACGACGACGACGACACAGTATAATCTCACATGTGGGGTCTAGAAGGATAATATGTACGCAGACCTTACCCCTACCTCGAAGGGTAGAGAAGTTTTCAGGAGACCCTCGGCTCAAAAAAGCAACGGGAGCCTAGAATTCTATTTGGGTCGTCTTTTTTATATCAAAAAAATATAATAAAAAATTACTTTTATCCTATTTGTATAATATAATTTTTCCATGAATCTTTCCTCTTACTAGTTCCGTCACGGCCTTCTATCAGCAATATTGCAGCAACAACAATAAACTTAGTATAATTTTATAAGTGAATTTACGCCTTTCAAACTTTTTTAGAATTCATTTTATGTTAAATTTGTGATCAAATATTGTTACATAATTTGAAACTATGCAAATTTAGTCAAGATTCAAGGAATTGGGGAGTAGGAATTTGCATTAAAAATTAGATGCACACTTCCTAACATAAACTTCAGGTGGATCTTTTTAGAATCATCGTATTGTATGTGCATGAACTAAGTCCTACATGAAAAGTAAAAAGGAAAAAGATTCTACTTATAAGGAGTTAGAAACAGTAGATAGGGTAAGACCTTTTGGGGAAAAACGTGCGGGCTTGACCCAAATCAGACAATATCACAACATATTAAGAGTATTTTTGAATCATTTTAACCTAACAACTAGTATCCGAGCTTGATTTGGCGGGACTATGGAGATGGTGGAGTGTGGCATGGGGGCCCGACTTAGTGTCGTCGCCCACAGGGTTTACGGTCTTTACCCGTAGCTTTGAAGATGCATACACGGCCTTTGGCTTCGGTGACCGTAAATACTTAAGATCGTGTATTGTTTGGTGTGTGTGAACAAAGTCACACATGAAAAGTAGAAAGGAAAAAGATTTACTAATAAGGAGTTAGATACTCTAAATGGTGCGAGGCATTTGGAGGAAAACTATACGGGTTTGACCCAAAACGGACAATATCATACTATTTTAAGAGTATTTTTTGGGTTGTTCGATTTGAATGAGTTTTCATGTTAAAATTTGGTATTTTTTATCTTCTTTATTTTCGGGTTTACCTCCTCCTCGACGTAACACATAACCCATTAAAAAATATTTCGGTAAAATAGCCCACTGGCTTTTCCTTGCAAGGTTTTTAACGAGGCAACCAAAAGACGTATTATTATATATGTGTACTCTTTTTCCTTTACTAGAATTTTTTTTCCACTGGGTTTTATTTTAGTTAAGGTTTTAACGAGGCACATTATCTGTTGAATAGACATTCAAGGGTGAGTGTTATAAATAGAATTTTATTTATGGTGAATGTTTATATTTAGAGAGATTCTAGGGTTTATTACTTAGTGGCTAAGTCACTCTCTCCCTATAAATAGAGGATTCTATTCCATTGTAATTTATCCCAAAATTCAATAAGAATTATCTTTCTCTCTTTCTCTGCAATATTGTTCTTTTACTTTTATTGTTTCAGAACATGTTATAAAACAATAAAAGAAGAAGAGTATTGTAGAGAAAAGTAGAGGGAGAGAATTTTTATTGATTTGGGATGAATTACAATGGAATAGAACTCTTTATTTATAGAGAGAGAGTGACTTAGCCACCAAGTAATAAACCATAAAATCTCTTTAAATATAGACATTCACCATAAATAAAATTCTATTTATAACACGCACCATAACTTTAAAATTCTTTGCTAAAATATTAAAGTATGCTGCCACACCGTACTTCAAACTATATTAGTATGCTTAAGATTCTGGCAATATGCTTTACAATTCTGACTTTTAAAATTCTAGCACTGTGTTTAAAATTCTGGCATTAGGGCTATTTTTCAGAAAAAGTTTAACAAGAAAAAAAAATAAATAGTTGCACTAGCACAATTAGCCATTAAAGTGGATGGTCTTAAATTTTTGTTCTCAATTGCTCTATGGGCAGAACTTCAAGTTTAATAAGTGTTGCATCTCGCTTGCCCTATGAATAATCTTCTTAACTCTTGACCTTAAAATTCTACACATTGGACAAACGAGGGTCAAAAACTTAAATGGAATCTTACATAAGTGTCCCAAAAAAAATTCTATTTACCAACCTCTAGCCATTAACCATAGACTTATCAAAACTAGTCAAGCACATATAAAAAATTAAAAATCAAAAGAAATAATATTTTTTCTCTACAAGAATCACACACAAAGATCTCCTTTCATATTGTTAAGCGTAATTAGCAACATGTTCATAGAGGAGACAGTAAATAAGGTGATGAATACAAAATATATATATATANACAGAATTTTAATCCGAGTTCACTAAATTCACAATGTTTTTTTAAGGAATTTAATCCCCTCCTAGTACCCAAGGCTGTGGATTATTTCCTCCCATGATAGAATGAATTACACACTGGTGTAGTGGTACTTCAAACTCAAGTATTTCAGCGAACACAAAGTTCGGTAGCAAATCACATTTACCGTTGCTTTGTTTGATGTTAAAAGTATGCAGAAGAAGGAGGAGAAACTCAGAAAATCCTATGGAAATCCTGAGCAGAATAGTCTTGTATTTATAGCCAAAGTTGGGCTGAAATCTGAAGAAGTGCAACTCTTCAGAATGGTTGTTTATGCATAACGGTCACAACATAAATACCATAACATAAATGGCAATTTTCTCAACAATAAAGAGGGAAAACAAAGAGGGAAAATAAAGAGGAAAAATTGAAGATGGTAGTTTAACTTTTAGTCATACAACTGAAAAACGGATTGGATTTAATATTAATATTTATTGTAATATTAATATTCTGTTATTAAAATAAATATTTAATAACATTCCTCTTCCAATATGAGACAATGTCCCTTTGCAAATGGGGGAAACTTAAGATTTCACTAAAAAATTTCATTTCTCATTCACCCTATTTTAAGCATATCATATACTTAAAATCCCAATATATACAAGATTTCCAAAAATCTAAGAAAAAAAGTATTTTTTCAATGGGTATGGTTGAGATGCACTGAAAACATATAGATGAGCCAATATTCAAAATTTAAGGACGATTGGAGGTGATTTGGACTGAATTGGTATCAAAATTCGTAGTTAAAATCGAGTTCAAAAAGTTCTTATGCGACACATGTATCAAACATATATCATGCATGTATCTCACACGCAGGTATACATAGATATACATGTGATACATATTTGATACAAATATGATATATATTTGATACACAAGTGATATACAGTGTGATACACATGTCAATTTTTCATATTCATCTTGTACTTCGAATTTTCAATTCAAACCACCTCAAAACTCCACCAAATCATTCCAAAACTAAGATTCAAGCTCCTTAAGATGTACCCAATCTATTCTAATGACACCCACTTAAAAGAAAGCAAAAAAATAACTTTTTTGCTATAAATAAATAATTGACTAATATTGGTAATATTTTATGAATTGGCCAATTTTTATAATAAGCTACTTATAAATGGACACAACCCGATATTTTCCCAAATTTAAAAGCACCCCAAAAAGTATCGGGAAACTACCAGCTATGTCCACTTATAAGTAGTTCATTACAAAAATTGACCAATTCATAAAATATTACTAATATTAGCCAATTAGCTATTTGCATTAAAAAAAAAAGGTCAATTGTTTCTTTTCTTTTGAGTGAGTGTTATTAGAACAGATTGTGTACATCTTAAGGAGCTTGAATCTCAATTTTGGGATGATTTGGTGAAGTTTTGAGGTGGTTTGAATTGAAAATTCGAAGTAAAAACTGAACAAGAAAAAAAAACGATATGTGTATCACACTGTGTATCATTTGTGTATCACATATGTATCATATTTGTATCAATTGTGTATCATATGTATATCCATGTATACCTGTATGTGAGATACATGTGTGATACATGTTTGATACATGTGTGTCGCAGAAGAATTTTTTGAACTCGATTTAATAACGAATTTTGATACAAAACCAATCCAAATCATATCCAATCTTCCTTAAATTTTGTGTATTGACTTATTTATATGTTTTCAATGAATTTCAACTATACCCATTGAAAAAATTCCTTTTTTGCTTAGATATTTGGCCAATTCATAATTTTTTTTTTGTATTTCATCACCTTATTTGCTACCTCATTCATGAAATTTCCTTTCCGTCTTGCATCTAATGTTGCTAATCACGCTTAAAAATATGGAAGAAGACTTTTGCATGTGATTCTTTGAGAGAAAAAACCATATTTATTTATTTTTTAATTTTTTATGTATTTGACTAGTTTTGGTAAGTCTATAACTAATGGCTAGAGATTGGTAAGTTGAGACTTATTTGAGACATTTGTGTAAGTTTTCCAAAAGTATCATATTTCTTAAAATGCAATAGTTGAAGAAAAATGAGCCCAAAACAATACAAGTTGACCAAAGTCCATAGCATCTTGTTCTTCGACATTTGAGAGAGATCCATTTCTGAAAAGAAGGCCACACATCGGCTAACAACACCACCACTTTCAAAATCTTGCCAACACAACTCCTCTCTGTGTCCTCTGGAACTTCTTACGTTCTCTTCCACTGACGAAATCAAATTGTATGTTTCCCTTTTTCTCTCTAATTGTGTCAAAAATTATTTTTCTTTTTTTTCCCCTGTGATTTTTAGTGATTACTGTCTGAGGTATACTTAATTGTTTGGGATAGCTATACTTGATTTTAAGCTCTTAAAAACTTAGATGAATTGCTCCCTCTTTATATCTTGTTAGCATCTGAAATTAGAGCTAAAATATATAGAATTTTTGCATTTATTAGAGTTCTTTCACTTGCTATTTGCTAGATAAGTGACTAGGAATATGATTACTGAATTCTTTGTAGGACAAAAGATGAAATGTTGAATCGTATAATAGATCAAATTTTGTATAACCATTTCTTTTGTTTTTCAATAGGAGAAAAAACTTTTTCACTGTTGTGAAGCATAACTATCCTTTTGTTTCTTGAGCATGAAGTTAGTCGGGGGTGTGCATGGTTGTTTGAATCCAACAATTAAGCAACAATCTATAAAATTGATCCTAGAATTGGATTTTTTTTTTGTTGAGCTCCCAATTCCAATTTTTGGTTGCATAGTTTCATTCAAAGACGTCTTAATAAAATTCGTGGCCTAAAGCCAAATTTTAGTACGGGGCCTTGATTTTTTTTGTCTATAATATAGTTACCTACAAAATATAGTATTAATATTACCTTTGTTCCTTTTTTTTCTTTCTTTTTGTCTATAGTGTAGTTATCTTATAAAATATAATATTAATATACCCATTGGTAAAAAAAATTCAAGTTAATAAGATGTTAGCCACATATTTACATTTGGTTACCATGGATCTCATTGTAAAAAAATATTATTTATCAATATGAAGATTTGAGTATCTTAATTCAAAGTTCTAAAATATTTCTGTTGTTAAAAAATAGATAGTCTTTCTTTTCATTTTTATAAGGTTTAGTATTATTTTTTTCTATAAACTTCAATATTGTCTAAGCGAAATAGTAAACCCACAATTAAAAATATTTTTGGGGCCCCAAAATTTAGGGAGCCTAAAGCAAAGGCTTTACCAGCCTCCTCCTTGAACCACCCCTGGTTTCATTGCAAGCATTGCCCATTCAAGTGTGATTGTACAGTTTGATGGTTGTGTTATTGTCACATTCATTCTTGAGGTCATAAAACTCATGTTTTGTTGTATTATAGTGTAACAACCCAACCTACTAGTGGTATTGTCTGCTTTGGGCCGAGGTCCGCACGACTTTAAAATATGTCAATAGTATCTAAGCTTGTTTCCTTATATACACAACATATCTTATGTGTTTTGCCGACGTGAGATTTGCCTAGGGCATTACATGTACACACCTCCATAGGGACTCAGCGTTCCCGTTGAGGTTTGTTCTACCACCTTCTCAAAGATGTGAATTTCCTCAACGCAGTTGAACACTGAGGTTTGCCCCATGCCCAAGGTGTTGCACGCGGAGTGGCTCTGATGCGTTCTATAACAGCCCAGTCCACCAGTGATATTGTCCGCTTTTTGGACCTATACATGCACAGCTTTAGAGTGCATCATTAGGGTCTAAGACTTGCTTCCTTATAATACCCAACTTCTCTTCCGTGTTTTACCGATGTGGGTGTAGACATGTAATTTTTTACCCTCCCCGAGTTTTTACACATTTTAGTTTTTAGATATTTAGTTTAGGTCTAACATCGTTATTTTAACTAGCTTTGACTCTTTTACTTTATTTTAAGAATAAAAATTGAAAATTACAAAAATAGTTTCATATTTCTCTATTTAATTCACGTATTAGATATTTTTAGAAGGATATGTTACTTTGAACCTATTTTATTTTAATATAATCTTTGAAAATACCAAAAATAGTTTCAACTTCAATTTTTAGTTATATTTTAAATATAATAGTTTAATATAATTTCAACTTTAATTTTTAGTTTTACTTGTATCTTCTTATAAGTAATTTTAGAAGTAGATTAAATTTTTAGCCTTTTCTTAGCCCAATTTTGTAGAATGTTTTAGCCCAAATTGAATTCTTGCAAGAGGCCCAAGTTAGACAACCCACACCCTAAACCCATAAAAACCTTAAGTATTCATCTTCTCCAATGAACCTAGACACTACAACAAAAAACCCTAGAGAACACCCCTGAACCCTGTAGAGTCGTAGCAGCCCCAACCCGCCTCCCCTTCCCCCTTCAGTCTAAAAACCAGCCTTGCACACCACCCTTCAGCCGCTAGCCACACGCCACCAAGCTCGCCGGACGTCCGGCAATAATCTTCAACAACGAGCCGCCCACAACTTTCCCAAAAATCAATCTTCATTCCTTAACTTGAAACACTGATTTCCCTCCAACCAAGAGACAAAACCAAGAACCCTAGACACATATCCAATTCGCCACAAATAGCAATTTTATTTGTTACTAAAAAATATTTGTGACCATACTTTTTCTTCATAGAAAAACCAGTACACTCCAAAAGAAAATTAGGAGTACATCGTTGCGAGATTACATTGTTGTTCCCATGTTTTAGGAAAACACAAAATCAAGAGATGAAAGTAGTTGGCTTTAACACAATGGAATGGACTTTATAAGTGGAGTATTCCGGCGAAATTGGAGGCGTGGTCGAGGCAGTGAGGTTTTCCAATTGAGGTGTCCATTCACGGTTTGCCATCTCCGATTGAAGGCTCCTGCTTGGTCGAGTTAGACATCAAAGGTCCATTCACGCTTCTCTAACTTGAAATCTTTTAATTGCTTTATTTGATAGTGAATTTGATTTATGAAACTCTCTGTTATTTTGTCTTGTTCTAGATTAATAGATGATTTGTCTTATCTGCTTAATCTATTTGATGTCAAGAATGAATTTACTTACTAAGCAATTAAGATGGTTGAACAGTTAACGAGTTAAAAGGGGCCTTGGGGTTTGGGGTACTGGAAATTGAAAAGAGGATTTGAGCCATGTGGCTTGTTAGGGATTAAACTTCATGGTATTTGGGCTTCGTATGATTTCAATTGTTATTATTATATTCTATTGAGTCAACAGTAGTATGCTTAAGTTCGGGGGTATTTGCATATATACCCGCTTTTTGTGTCACGTTTTAACTTGTGTCTGCTTTGCAAAAAAATTGCAAGTGTACCACTTTTTCGCATAATTTCAGCATACGGTGCTGAAGTAGCAAAGACAATCACGCAAAACTTCACCATTCTAGTAGCCGGGCCTGAAGTTCAGCTCTAGAGCTGAAGTTTTTGTTTTGTAACTGTCAAACTTCAGCTCTAGAGCTGAAGTTTTTGTTTGTAACTATCGAACTTCAGCTCTAGAGCTGAAGTTTTTGAGAGTTCCAATATGGGTATCTAATAAAGAACCTTAAATATTCCTTCTCTATCAAACTTCACAAGTCGATCAAAAACCTTAAAAAGAAATCTTTGGCCAACTATTGCTCAGAAATTGTGTCTGTTAAGTTAGTTGAACTGATGACTCATCGAATAGGACGATACATTGTTGAACAATGTTTCCCATGTCTTCAATGAGAAGCAGATCTTGGACTATGGAACTGGTTCAGGTGTTCTAGCAATTGCAGCTCTTAAGGTAGTTGGTTTTCTTTCAAAATATTGCCGTTGAAGCTGCTAACAAACTAAGTCTTTATAAATCAGAGCTCCACCTAAAACTGATCCTTTACTCACTGAATCCATGCCTTGCTAAGCCTGAATTTACATGTAAATCTAAAAGGAGTCTTTTCGTCATTTTTCCTTCAAGTATTCAACTATTCAACTACATAGAAATACATAGAAATAGGAATAAACAGTTTTCTTGAACGTTTGTGATAGTTTCCTTCAAATATTCAATTATCAGACAGTTTGTGAACGTTTGTGGTTGTTTGCAAGAAGAAAGAAGAAGAAAACGAAGGAGGAGAAAGATGAGGAGAAAGGGGACTGAAGTTGTTTAAAAAGTGTGTACAAGTTAAAAGTTTTTAAAAAATGGGTATAGGTTAAATGGGGGCGACCAAATAGGGCGCCCCGTGCAATTTTTACCTAAGTTCGTCATCACCTGGGTAGGCAAACTTTAAGATTTTTGTTAGTTTTGAGGTGGGAGGTCGTTTCTTTAGTTAAATTCATCCGGGGAATTCCTTGAAGGATTTGTATATATTTTATTTCGGGAAATGCCCCGTAGTATTTTGTAATTGGAGGCTAAAGTAGAACTTGTAGTGTTTTATTCTTGTTTTATTTTTCTTTATTAGGTGGGGACGACCTCGAGCCTCTTATGTGTTAATTTTCCAATTTTTTGTGTTTATTACCTCCATTATTTTAAAAGCCAACTTGATCATGTACGCAACCGTACTAGTTACGGGATTCGGTGAGTGCCTAACACCTTCTCTCCGAGTCAAATGAATTCCCTTACCCAAATCTCTGGTGCGGACTTAGTTTTGGAGTCCAAAGTGTTTTAAAGGAAAAATCATTTTTGAAAACGGTGACCTGACACACCGAAATCAATGTCAGGTGACGACTATGAAATATCTTTTGAAACACAATCCTTTGTCACTTTCATAATTGAAAAACCTTTTGAGCTTTACAAATCTTTTTATTTATTTAAAAGGGTTAGTGAGGTTGTAAAAAATGGGTGTGACAGTGGGATTTGCCTAGAGTGTCGTATATTGGATTTCCGTTGTCCTTGTGGTAAATATTTGGAAGTAAAATGTCTTGCAACCTGTAATGCTCATCAAATAAGTACCATTCCTCTTCTATTCTGTTTCATAAGAGTGACTATGTTCTCTTTTTTCAGACTGACTATGTTGTATGTGGCAGAGTATTGACCAGTCAAAAAGTCACATGTCTAGCATATGAAAGTAGCAGAAATGAGGATGTTGAGATGGATGTGTGGGCATACTAGATTGGATAGAATTAGGAATGAAGTTATTCGAGACAAGGTGGGTGTGGCCCCTGTGGAGGCAAAGATGCGTGAGGCAAGGTTGAAGTGGTTTGGGCATGTTAAGAGGAGACGCACAGATGCCTCAGTCAGGAGATGTGAGAGGTTGGCCTTGAGAGGTGAGAGGAGGGGTAGAGATAGACCTAAGAAGTCTTGGGGTGAAGTGATCGGGCAGGACATGGCGCAGCTTGAGCTGACCGAGGACATGACCCTAGATAGAAAGGGTGGGAGGTGGAAGATTAGGGTGGAAGGTTAGTAGGTAGCGGAGCGTTTCCCTGTGTCTTCCTTAGTTCGATAGTGTAGACATGTGATTTTTGACCCTCCCCAAGATTTTTCATATTTTAGCACGTAAATATTTAATTTAGGCCTAATATAGCTATTTCAACTCATTTACTCATTTACTTTATTTTATTACAAGAAAACGAAAATTACAAAAAAATAATTTCATTAATATTTTGTAGTCATTTTTAATCTTGAAAAATACCAAAAATAGTTTTGTTTTAACGTTCAGTCTTATTTTAATAGTTATTTTACTTACGTAGGATTAATTAATAAATGAGATCGTATTTTGTAGGCTCGTTCGCGGAGAAAGAACAAAATTTGGGTTCAAACGACCCATTTTTAGGCCCAATTCGGATTAACCCATTAAACCCAATACCCAATACTCATTAAGCTAACCCTAGGGATCGTTCTTGACTCTTCTTGGAAACAAGAAATAAATAAAAAGACCCCAAGGAATAATTGACAAAATATACAAAAAATATAAATAGACCTAGGGACCTGAGAGCTAAAAATACACAAAATATAATAGACCTTAGAACTATCAGATAGAGAAACGCCGATAACTCCANAAGATGTAAAAATACAAAAATTCAGTTCTTTCATTTTTCTTAATTTATTTCAAAGATCAGAAAAATGCAAAAATAAAGGTTTCTTTCTTCTTCTGGATTCTCGTTGGAAGTTCGATTGATTTGCGATGCCGAGTCGAGGTTCCCGTTACTGCTCGCAGTTCTAATCACAGTTTCTGCCTGTTTTTTTTGGCTATTGTTTCACGGCTGAATTCTCGGAGTTCGAGGTCCGTTTCGCTCACTTTCTTCTCTTCTACTGTCTTCGTGGTTGTGATTAATTCAGCGGATTTATAGATGATTTGATTTGATAAAGCTCTACCCATTTTGTTGTTCCCTGTTTTGTTGACTACTGGATGTTGTTAGCCTTGATATCAATTCATGTTTCATGTTAATTGATGTAGAATTACTGTTTATTAGCATTACATTTCGTTAGCTTTCGTTATTAGATAATAAACTTGAAGTTCGTTGTTTGAGCTTACTGAAATTGGGTTGGGGACTAAGAATTGAGTTTTGGACTTTTATGATTAGTAGATAATAAGGGATACAAGGAACCAGATTTGGGGTTTGACATTAATTTGGGACTTTTGAGTTTTTTTTTTAAATGATGTTTCAATATTAAGGACAATTGGGCAAGGTGAGTCAAATGACCAAATGGGCAGATGAGTATGAAGAATGAAAATAAAATTGATTTTATGAAGTACAGAAGGATGAATGCGCATATCATCTATTTGGTGAAAGGCAATGTTGCTTATTCTTCGCATGTTTTGGCAATTCCAATGCAAAGTTTTGCTTGATTGGAGTTCAGTAACAGAGCGAGTCCAAATTTATAAAACCTTTAGTACTTGGAATGGAACTTTTGGCTCTCACGCTTGTTAGATCGTGAAGTGATCATACGTCTGTAATGCATTGTATGTCCCATAATAGGTCCCATTCTTCTACTCTTTCCCGGAAGTCTCTTAGTGGTTAAGCCGGGTGAAGATCTTGCTTCCAAGTCTGAATATTATATTGAAACATATTCCTTATCACTCAGAAAAGACAAAAAAATTTCAGGATAGCAAACATTCTCTAGAATTTCTCTTAGATTCAAACCCATAGCTGATGATAGAACTAGAATAGATATTTTTTGTTTCCTACTTACACGAGCCCATATCCTNTTTTCCGTTCAAGAAATTGCTTATGTAAAGATGGGGTGAGTCTCTTATAAGATCTTCCTTTCTTCTCTTTTCTTCTATTAGTTAGCTTGGATTGAGAAAGCTCCGCCCAATAGCGCTTAGCCATGTGTGTGTAGACCGAAATGGTCTCGCGAAGCCGGTCAACGGTAGCCTAAGAGCAAGTCAAAACTACGAGAAGGGCGCGAGAAGCATATATGTTAGAGGCACATCCATTCTACGACTTCGCTCTAATATGCTTTAGGCGCGATTAATAATAAACCATCGTGACTACGGGTACGGTTCCTGTGGCGTAGTCGTGATACCTAATTTCAAATTAAATTTAAATAGGAGCATCCTTAGTTTGCTTTAGTGAAATACAATTCTTTTAATAAAATTGAGGTGTGTCATCCAATCACCTAGTCTATGGCCTTCACATCGATATCCTAACTAATGTAGAAAAATGCCTTGAACTCTCGTAGCTTGCTTTAGGCGCGTCAATTAATTAATTGTCATAGCTACGGGTACGGTTCTCGTGACATAGTTATGACACTTAATTTCTAAAATCCGGGGTACATTTATGTGACCCGGCCACAATTTAATCATTTTAATAAAATAAGCACGTTGTGGATTGTGGGTACGGTTCCCGTGACATGATTCACAAACGTTTAATCAATAATTAGTTGTATAACAATTGGATTATTAAAAGCGGTTTAAAAGCAATAAAATGCACATAAGTTTCAAAGATGTTTTAAAATCAAATAAATAGGCCAATAATAACAGTTGAGCGACTGTGCTAAACCACGGAACCCGGGAATGCCTAACACCTCCTGGGTTAACAGAATTCCTTACTTGGATTTCTGTGTTCATAGACCGTAAATAGAGTCAACTTCCTCGATTCGGGATTTTAAACCGGTGACTTGGGACACCATAAATTATCCCAAGTGGTGACTCTGAATTTGAATAAATAATCCCGTTTCGATTGTCACTTAAATTAGAAAAAAACTCCCTTATACCCCTCCTTCCGGGTTAGGAAAAATGAGGTGTGACAGATAGTATTAGTGCTAGTATGGTACCCTTTTTTCCTTAGTTTGCTATAGCCGCGTGTCTTGTTCTATTACTACCGACCTTCGGTAATTCCGTAGTTTGCTAGCAGGACTTCGTCATATTCTCGTGTGCTGCCTTGGACTTATCTGTCTAAATATACTATCTTAAGATTACTTGTTATCGGTACTATCTTGCTATTCTTTGTTGTTATCGCCGATTTAGTTTTCTAACTATTTGTCTTGCTATCACTTGCTATCAGGGCTTCCTTCACTTTCTTTAGCCGAGGGTCATTTGGAAACAGTCTCTCTACCCTTCCAGGGTAGGGGTAAGGCTGCGTACATCCTACCCTCCCCAGACCCCACTTAGTGGGATTATACGGGTAGTTGTTGTTGTTGTTGACTATGTTCTCTTTTTGTGGGGGAGGAAGACCTCACACCCCGTTAATGCTTCAAGAAATTTTACTTTAACTTCTTCTTTAAGTAATAGATTAGGAAAAGTCTGTTTAAGCCTTCTTAGAATTGGATCAATTTGTGTTTTGTCCTGTGTCCTCTCTACTCCCTACTAAACTTATTCGTGTTCATTATCCTTAGAAATAGTATTATTAATAGTGTTGTTCCACGCTTAAAGTTCCTGGGCGATGCGAAATGATGTGTTAGGCTTCTAATTGGAGAAAGGATGCGATTTGGAAGAACATAGTGAGTCGTAAAGCGATTGAAGCTAGAAGCAGTTGCTCCTTTGAATCTGGCTTTAGAGATGAAAAGAAAAAAAAGAGAGAGGAAAATAGGGCCTTTTGCGATCTGTGTACTAGTAGTCCTCTCCATGTACTGTTCTATGTTCTCCTTAGTTGCTGTTTTATGCATTTTCTTAAGACACCACTTAGAATGGACAGGTTTGCATTTAATTCTGTTTCCTCATAACCATTTAAACCTACCCCACACAGAATCCCAATATACCTGTTTCCCAGCTATACATTTCAGCAGCGAAAGGTTGACAATAATTTTTTTTCCTCATGCAAGAAACAAGAAATTATGCTGAACCCTGGTTATTGTCCACTGTCTAATAACTCTTTTATAAAACAATTTTTTGATGAATTGGAAAACAATTCAAAGCCAAATAGTTTTTCCAGAAACCCTTTAAGGTCTCTTGAAGCACATATCGACTTGTCATACTCGTGTATTGCCTGTCCTCCATGTCATGCCAAGTTAATTTGTATGTATGTGTATTGGTATAAGTCAGTTCCATTTTTCCTTTTCATTTGTATTTTCTTGCTGAAAAAGTCTTTTTCCTTGGTCCTCTCCCTTCCCTAAATTAGTAGTTTCATCTGTGCTTGATGCTATGTCGTTGATTTCTGTACTTGTCATACTAATTTCTGTAGGAGGAGAACACTAGAGATTGAAATGAATGGAGCTTCCTCATCTGGTGGTATAAGAGCTGCTTTATCCTATTGTGTGCAGCAAGTACGAAGTTATGATTATCATCACTACCTTTGCCTTCTTGAACTTCCTACAAACATGCGGAAGGCTGCATTTGCGCTCCGAGCTTTCAATGTGGAGACGTCCCGAGCTATGGATGTTGCATCTGATCCTAGAATTGGTCTTATGCGCTTGCTGTGGTGGCAAGAAGCTTTGGACAAGATCTATTCCAACCAGGTGATTGAGCATCCAGTAGCTCAGGCCCTCACTTCTGTGGTGTCTGAGCACAAGGTTAGCAAAAGTTGGCTGAAACGAGCTGTTGAAGCTCGAATAAATGATGCAAAACGGGAAAGTAATGAAATTCCAAAGACTGTTGAAGAATTGGAGCGATATGCTGAGGACACAGCATCAACTATTTTGTATTCTACACTTCAAGCAGGTGGTATAAAATCCACAACGGCAGACCATGCTGCTTCACATATTGGTAAGGCGAGTGGCCTTCTTTTACTGCTTAAGTCACTGCCATACCATGCTAGTCGAAACCATCAGTTTTCGTATATACCAGCCAAGGTAGCTGAGAAACATGGATTGTTGGTTCAACAAAGTGGTCAGTCAGAGATCAGAAAGGACTCGCGTGAGGCCCTTTGTGATGCAGTATTTGAAATGGCTTCTGTAGCTAACGCACATCTGCAGAAGGCTCGAGAATTGGCTGGAAGTGTGCCAGCTGAAGCTCTCCCCGTGCTTTTGCCTGCTGTGCCTGCCCAGGTCATTTTAGATTCTTTGGCTCGGGTGCAGTTTGATGTATATGATCCGCGGCTGGCACGTGGAATCTTGGGGGTTCCCCCTTTGTTGTTTCAGTTGAAATTGAAATGGTATTCATGGAGGGGTAAATATTGACATTACCTTTACGCCTCTGTTAGCTCTTTTAACGTTGGTCATCCACCATTGTTTTCTGGTGCTAGCAGATCAATGTTTAAAGCGTGGATGAATATTCATCCCTTTGTAGAATATGCGTCTTAAGCAAGTTTAATATCTATGCTAACCAGTGAAGACAGTAGCTGGCATTACAGGTATGAATTTTTGATGACTAATTGAATTCTCACATGGATAAAATGTGATTCGGCGGTTGGTATTTCTGGTGTTTCATCCTTACACATAAAGAGGACAACATAAACTTCAAGCGTTTAAATAAATTTCTGCGAGTACTCTGTCTGGTTTGACATTCTCATGTTCACTCTGGATTGCTGCTTGCTAGTTTGTTGGCACCATATTACTTTCGTAATTTGGAAGTAGTGGAGAATTTAATCATTATCTGTTTCTTTTACCTTCTTTTAACTATGTTGCTCGGACTCTCCAGAAATGTCCCTGGGTGCATGTCGGATCCTCCAAAAGTAGTGCATTTTTGGAGGATCCGACACAGGTGCAACAACATTTTGGAGAGTTCGCGCAACATAGTCGTTTAATGCAATGCCAGAAATTTGTGGAGAGGGCAACAAATCGGATTAAGTACACCATGTCTACTAACCATTTACACTTTGTTTCTTTGCAATGTTCTCTACTCTGTCATCTTAATCTTGAGATAATGAGTTGTTTCCAGGCCTATTGTACCATGTTTGGCAATAAACATTGTTAAGTGTAATGCACTGTAGTAGAGCTTCAATTCCTTTTCAACTCCAAGACTTCTATATTTAACATATCATACTGGTTAGAGAAAGTGAGCAAAGTTTATATGCTTTCATTCTTCTCATTGTTATACAACCTACTGGTATTGCATCCAAGAGTGTTGCCTAGCGCTCAATGAAATGAGCGAAAAATCATGAGATATCAGGGGCTTAATCTAAGCATAGAAAAGTTGCCAGATGATTTCTTCCATCTTTAGTTATCGGGTAATTATGCCGGTGGGATTTAGCAGGTACCCCGGTGCAACAATTGAGGTACGAGTAAACTGGCTTGGACACTACTGTTATCATTTACACACAGGTGTTGAATGAAACAAACAAAATGCTAATGCAAAACCAATAATGCCTATAATTTCTTTGTTTATAATGAAGGGGAACCTTAGTGTAATCGGTAAAGTTGTCATGTGACCAGGAGGTCACGGGTTTGAGCGATGGAAATAGCCTCTTGCAGAAATGCAAGGTAAGGATGCGTACGATGGATCCTTGTGGTTCGGTCCTTTCATGGACTCCGCGCATAGCGGGAATTTAGTGCACCGGGCTGTTCTAATAAAATATTACTCCTTTTTCTTTTTAAAATTTTTGAAGAGGGAACCTTGGCGTTACTGGTAAAGTTGTTGTCATGTGACCAGGAGGTCTCGAGTTCCGGTCGTGGAAATAGTCTCTTGCAGAAATGCAGGATAAGGCTGCGTACAATAGACCCTTGTGGTCCGGCCCGTCCCCGGACCTCGCGCATAGTGGAAGCTTAGTACACCGGCTGCCCTTTGTCCCCCATTCTTTTGTCATATGACATACTGGTGATGAATAAAACAATCATATTGTAAGAGAACCAGAAAGAAAAATAATGCTCCATTTATTATGGCCATATTATAAAGTAATTGACAGCTTAAATGTTGATTTACTTGTCTGTTATTCAGATTTTAAAAGAATATAATTCAATTTTTTGTATGTTTCCATTCTTCTCATTGTCACAAAGCAAACAGATGGTGAATAAAACAACCATGTGATAGAGTACCAGAATTGTCTCATAATCAGATAAACTGACAGCTTAAATTGGATTTGTTTGTTTCTGATTTGGATAGAAAAGTGAAACAAAGTTTTTATGTATTTATTATTGTCATTGTCTTATAGCATAGTGGTGATGAATAAAACAACAGAATGGTAGTACTATAAAAAGAATATTTACAATAATAATTGGCCATGTTATCTTATGCTCAATTAATTGACAGCTTAAAGTGGATGTAGTTGTTTCTGATTCAGAGTGAAAAGAAAAGTAAAGTTTAGTTTCTCATGATTAAGTAATTGACAGCTTGCTTGTTTGGATTATTGTTACATGTCGTTTTCATAATAGATCGTATTGTATTATACTTCATTGTATTGTATTGTTTGATAAATACAACATTTTGATAGACTGTATTTTTTGCCGTCGTTTCATGATGTCAAGCACCAACAATATGAAGAATAATCTTGCAATATTATTAAGAAAAAATTAGGATAAAGAATAGAATTATTATATAAAAAATTATGATAAACAATAAAATATGATTATTTTAATAATAAGTAAGGGCAAGATGCGAGAAAAAAAAGAAAACGATGCCACCACACCAAATTCATCATTCTATAAAGTGACATTTTTCGTCGTTACATAGCGATGAATTTAACGATACAATATAATAAATTTATAGTAACAATCAAAATAAACGTTATATTAAAGTAATGATAACAATATAATGTAACAACCATCCAAACAAGTTGTTAAAGTGGATGTCTTTGTTACTGATTCAGATTGAAAAGAAGGGTAAAGTTTTATTTTTTTTATTTTTCACATTCTTCTCTTTGTCATACAGCATAATTTTGGTTAATAATAAAAATAACCATATGGTGAAAGAAAAATAATGCAGTACGGACACCTAAGGGTGTGATTTAGCGATCGGTAAAGTAGGTTAAAACTATGAAAAACCAATGTTCAAGTATAGGCCGTATAGGCAAAACACTATTATTTTATACGTGCCTAAACTTTGATGGTAATTCGAACCTATATTAGTGGAAAGTCGCAAGTAGGGGCGGATTTAGGGGAGCGGAAGGGGTTCACCTGAACCCCCTTCGCCGAAAAATTACACTGTATATATAAGGCAAAATTTGATTTTTACCTCTATATATTAAGTTTTGAACCCCCTTAACACAACCCGAAAGTGTAGTTTAGTGGTCAAGGGGGTTCAAAACCTTTATAAGGTTATAGGTTCAATTCCCACTAGCTACAAAATTTTTTTTGAACCCCCTTCGTGAAGGTTATAGTGTAGTTTCGTCGCAAAATTGCATTGTGCATATAGATGAAATATTTGATTTTAGAGGTGTACAACGTACACTGAACACCCTTTGTCGGGAATTTTTTTTATTTCTTTCAAGTTTGAATACCCTTACAAATATTCCTGGCTTCGCCTGACGAATAAATTAACCATATGCTAGAGTCGTCATCAATGCCTCAATACCTTATATTGTTTTGATCGGTTACGTGAACGTAAGAACGTTGTTTCCATTTCTTTAACTCTGGTCCATTTCTCTATATTCAAAAAGAAAAAAAATACAATAACATATAGCATAAAACTCTTTCGTTCTTAAACAGAGGTCTCGAGTTCGAGCCCTGGGTATAAAGTCGCATTTGTTAGGGAGGGTAGAAAACTCAAAAGAAAAAAGAAATTGGATAGACTGGAAGTCATATAACGTGGTCAATTTAGTGAGTTGATTACTCAAATTGTCACTTAACTAACAAATTTTTTATAAGAAAGTCACTTTCTTTATTTTGTGAAAGAAAAGTCATTCTATTTTTGTCATTTCACATAAAAAGTTACTCTAAGAATTCAGGTAAATTGAGGTAAAAGAAATTCAACAAATACCTACAAATATTATATCATCCACACCCTAAAGCTTTGGCATAACTGTCAAATCTTTTACATTTTTTTTTGACAAAATAAAAAATATTAAACTAAGCCTCCCTACCTCCGGCAACAGAAAGAGACCGAGTGGGATCAAAGAAACTAACGAACTGATCACTAAAACAGAATAACAAACCTTAACATCGTCATAATCAGAGCGGAAATTAAGTAGCGAATCAAAAACTACTCACACTACTTTCTCCATAAACATAAAAGTTAAAAAAAATAGTATATTTTTAAATTTTAAATTCGTCTCTGATCACAACTCACCAGTACTAGTACTTATGCATCCAACTCCGCCTTCCACGGCATCTTCCACCACCACCCGTGGCGGCGATTCTTGATTGAACATACTCGAATTCGGATATCCGACAAGGGATTTGGATCCCACCCGAATGATTAAACCCATATTCCATTTCAGCCTCTCTCAATAAATCAGCAAATAAAGGATGATTAAAATAAATCACAGGCACTAAAACCCTACATGCATTATCTTCCTTTTCACCAACATACACAGCCAAATGACCCTTTGGTACAATCATTTCCTTCTGCTCCATGAAATCTTGCCCGACCCGAATATAACCCGAATTCGGCCTTGTAAAATTAAGACCTTTTGCACCATATTTCAACAAATTTCCCAAATTACATAGCTTTGAAATTGCTTTGGTTGCATAATTAGAAGATCCTAACCGTTTGTAGCTGATTCTTCCCCTTCTTCTCCTATGAATAAACCACTTGAAAACTCTCACTAGTCTCCTTCCAATCCTAAATCCTCTCACTTTTCCCATGTTTTTGTTAACCGATTCGGAAGATAAACTATCAGTCAGTGACGTGTTTGATGCTTTGTTGCCAAGATAGATATTTTCTTTACCGTCTCGATATAAGAACTGACGCTTTCTAACCCTCTATAAGTATAGAGAATATCTGCCTCGAAGGGGGGTCGGAGGAAGGTAGTGTGTACGTAGAGACCTTACCCTACTACGAAGGTATCTCCGCCTGAGTACAACAAAAACAACAACAAACAACTTAGTATAGTCCCACAAGTAGGGTCTGCGGAACGTAGTATGTATGCAGACTTTACCCCTATCTTGAAGATATCTCCGCCTAGAGATCAAAAGTATCAAATTTTTCTTTGGTAGAATTAAGGGGATTCTTGAAATTGGCTATTGAAAAGGCATTTCACGAAGTTGTAACTGCAAATATGAAGTTAAATGGAGTTTATAAAATTGATGGAGTACCTTTTTTTAGGGACCGTTTGGCTTTCTTGTAGAGTAGTAATGGTGATGATAAAGGAGTATTAATTAAAAGAAAGTAAAGAGCCAAAGACTAATTATCAATGGGACAAAAAAAAGGAAGCAAAGAGCCAAAGATTAACTATAAATGGGACAAGAAAGGACAACACGTATATGGAGAATTTATATATATAATTGACTTTGATTAGTTTTGAATTGAGACGTAGTTATTATTGCGACGAAAAACGATAACTCAAAGAGATAGTACTATAACTAGTAGTACAAACAAAAGAAGAATGAGGTTTTCTTGTTTTAGATGACTATGTATAAGATGTGTGGAGGATACATAACTAAGTATATATAGCATTTGGGGTNTGACTTTGAGATTTATATTATGAAGGAAAATAAATATGTGAAACAATCCTCAAGTGAGTTATTAAAAAATTATGTCATTAACTAGAATTTGCACGAAGTATTGCAAGAAATTACATTCCTCCCTCTCGTCTAATTCGAGCTGCCCAGCTCATTTGATAGTTAAGTTAACTCTCGCTTCAAAAAATAAGATTATATTATACGAGCAAAAACTCTCTAGCTAGTGAAAATAAGAATAACAAGATTAGAGTCACACTTATAGTCTAATGGTACTGATGAAAGTTCGTAACACAATATGTTAAACGTTTAATTTTTATTGTCCTAGTTTTTTTATTTTTTGTTGATCCCTAAAATAATTTTTTTTAAATGTGTAAAAAGAGGGACAATAAATAAGGGAGGTCAGTTGAATTGAAGTAATTGTGATGTTTCCTGGCTATATGGAGTTTCAGGGGCCAGTAATTATAAAATATAATTAAAATTTTTGAAGAGGGTATTTATTGTTTTTTCTAATGGTGTTTGATTTTGATGTTTGAATTAAAATAATATTATATCTATTGTATTTTTAAAAATTACTTGCTTTTTAAAAGGTAGACCTCCATGAAAGTTGCACGTAGGGTCATTTTCTTTTTTGGACTCACTATTTTTTGTTGAATATGACCAATTCTTTTAGCTAAATAAAAATTAGAATAATTTAAAGAATTTTAGTGGACATTATTTTATGTTGTCTTTAATTTGTGCCACGTAAGTCCATTGACGAGGTTTTTTGGGAGATACTTCAAGTGGTACGGAATTTCCAATATTTTTACTGTTATTATTTATCATTTTCAAATTCTTGGTACGAATTCTCTCACTTTGTACGAAGTCTGACCCCAAATTGAAATGGTTTTTTTTTTTAATTTTTAAAGTTATATGATCTTTTTCATAGATTGATAAGTTATAACATGTACATATTGCTAGATCAAATACGAGAGATATTTGCAAAGTTATTTTTTTAATTCAAATAATAATTAATCATAAGAGATTTCCTCGAGTTTCACTTCTCTATTTAGAGCTTCCTTATGTAATTTAATTTCCTGATTTATGCATTTACAAATTACAAATATGATTTCAAAAATCTTTTCAAAAATAATTCATCTAAAGTCAAATTTAAAGCTAAATGATACAAAAAATAATGTATATAATACGCGAAGTTTAAGTAATACATACCAACAGTAAAAAGACACTTAAATGAAATGGATAACCTACAAAACATTATGATAAATAACTTGTTACATCGGATAAAATTATTTTGATAGTGTACAATATTTTTACACGGGTATATAATTTAATTAAATTCCATTTCATGGAACTTTTCAATCTTTTTCTTTTGTGGGAATTAAAAAATATATATAAGAAAAATGATCTTTACTTCACTATCAAAATTGAAACCTTTGGTTAGGAATGGAGTCAAAATGAAATTTAATCTTTATGGAGACAAACGTAACTGAAAGAGAAGTGGAAAAAAATTAATTTAGGTAATAGCTAGTAGTAAGTAAACTGATGGAGTGAATGGGAGTAAATTCAATCTCAAACCCTTGAATTCTCCTTTAATATTCTTTTAATTAGGGGTGTTAATGTTCAGTTCGGCCGGTTATTTTATAAAATTTGTACCATATCAATTTTTCGGTTATTCTATTATGTATAACCAAGATTAGACTTTTCGAAACCGTCCCAATCATGTCGGTTTCTCTTTGGTATCTGTATGGTTTGGTTATTTTTCGGTACTTTTTTAAATGTCATGTAAAATTCACCAGTAGAATGCAGTAACATACGTTCTTTTATATGACTTAGCAAAACTCTCTAGACATTTTTACTGTTTAAAGGGTGATAAATTAAATAAAAACATAAGGATGGCTAGAATATAGATCCATTAACTATTCTAGAGCAACGTAAAGGCAAAGAAAATATAAATCGCACGAATGGAAAGATATTAACCAATTGGGACTCAAGAATAAAGTCTATAGAAGATTAAATATTCAAAGAAATAAATCTAAATTATATGAAAGGAAACATTTCAATACATTGTAGCTTGCTAATCATAATCGCTAGAATGCTTTGTGTCTTGCTAATACAAATACTTGAAATAATTCAGTTTAAGTAGAAGTAACATAATATGTTTTAGGAATTAGTATTTTGTCTTTAATTACTTGTTGGCTTGTAACAGTTTTCATAATTCCAAGGCCCAAAGAAAAAATTAATATTTTTTTATGTTTAAACTTACTATATAAATATATTTCTTACATATAAAATTTATTCATACGGTTCGGTATTTTTTCGGTTTATTTTTAGAAAATAAAAACTTATACTAATTATTGGTACGATTATAGATTTATACAAAAACCTACGGATTTTTGAAAAGAAACCTAAAAATCAGTTCGCTGCGGTACAGTTCGATCGGTTTAGCCAGTTTTCAAATATCTATTGACACCCCTACTTTTACTTAGCAAAAAGTCATTTGGATTACTCTAACAAAAAATATTTACATTTGTGTCGTTTTGCTTCACGAGTGTGATTAACGAAGGAGATTAATCTGGTCTTTTTTGTTGGTATTCTTGAAAAAACCAAATAGATTTATGTATTTTAAATAACACAATTTCGTCTGTTATTGTGAAGTAACTTTAATATCCACACAATTTGCGCGCATTTCGATTATTTCATCATGTACTTGTTAACTTCAACTAGCACATATACAAACAAATAAATTTATGAGTCTTAAATAACACAGTTTTGTCTGTTATTATTAAGTAACTTCAAGAATACCCCGATTGTTTACGCGCACTTCGATTATTTCACCGAGTACTTGTTAACCTCAACTAACACATATATCGAATATATAATTTTAGACACTAAAACTTAAACAAATAAAAGAAATCACCTAATATTATTTGTCACCGCTAGGAAGGTGCAAACTTCATTGTCATTACCCAATACTCCTCGGAAGTTTATTATCATCCACTGTTCCCATTACTCCTTTAGGAGAATAAGTACGAATATAATTTAAATATATATTTGTTAAACAATTTTAGTTATAACATTAATATAGTCCAAGACAAAGACAATAGATGAATTTGCACCTACATATCTATGATACCAGCGTAAGTTGTACTATTGTAATATAACTTTATTATTATTATTATTATTATTATTATTATTATTATTATTATTATTATTATTATTATTATTATTATTATTAATAATGGTGGTATCGCATATCTGCTTCCTCCAATAAGCGCATATACAAAGTAACTAAAAAGGGCAATCCGGTGCAAAAAGTATTCCACATTCACGCAGGGTCCGGAAAAAGGTCGCGTTCCAGGGGATGTGATGTGGACAACCTACCCTAATGCAAGCTTAAATGACCACTTCCACGGCTCGAACACGTGACCTTAGGTCACACAAAGACTACTTTATCGATGCACAAAGTTCCCTTCGCATAGATTAGGTAACTCCGTCCACCAAATATTATAGCATATGGTGAACTTATGTCTAGTGGAGCTAGGGAATATAGAAAATAGTACCTTAGAATAGTGAAATTGTACGCCTAAAATGTTGGTGTACTTGTAAATACTGTGTAAAAGTAATTTATTAGGCGTTTGGACATAAAAATTATAATTTTTTAAAAAAAATAGTATATGGAGTTAAGTTGAAAAATGGTATTTAGAATTTGAAATTATGTTTGGACATGCATTTCATTTGAAAAAATATTGTAATTTTGTGAGTGGGGAAAAAAATTCTGAAAATTTTGAAAACCACTTACTAGTTTTTTAAAAATGCATTTTCGAAATATTTTCAAAAACTTGTAAAATTTTAATGGACAAACACATATTTGAAAAAAGAATTTTTTTAATGGACAAACGGGCCTAATAAATAGCTTGGATACATATGTGAAGTTGAGGAGGAAGCAATTTGAATAGCTTGGATAATTAAGAGGGTGTTTGGCTAAGCTTATAAGCTGGTCAAATTGGCTTATAAACACCTTATGGCTAAAAGCTAAAGCAGCCATAAGTCATAAGTTGGTCACTCCCAACTTATGGCTTTTCAGCTTATAAGCACTTTTAGTTTGACCAACACTTTTACCAGTTTATCCTTAATAATATTTTCTAATTCACAAGATACTTTTTCCAAAATAAATTTCTTGACTTTCTCTTCATTCCATATTCGTTGTTAATTCTTTCTTTACAAAGAAATTTTTAATTTATAATTTTTTGAAAAAAATTCTAGGGCATTTTAGTCATTTTAACAAAAGAATAGCTTATCAACACTTTTTAATCACACATCAATTGCTTATTATTAGTTTTAGCACTTCTATACAAACACGTAAATGCTTATTTTCAAAATTAGTTTCAGCATTTCAAGCTTATCAGCTATTTACAATCAACTAATCCAAACGGGCTCTAAATCTCTATAATTAATATCCTTAATTTGCCAATTTGTCTTCCATCGGCCCTGTAACTACTATGTAAATCCAGGAGAAATTCAAAAATAGCCAGATTTATAAGTGGTCATTCAAAAATAGTCATAGTTTTAAAAGTCATTGAAATTTAGCCACTTTTTATGTAAAAATAAATCTGAATCCGGAAAATACTCCAGCATAATACACTAGAATTCCAGTAAATTATACTGGAGTTTGGAGTTCCAGTAACTTTGATGGAACTCCAGTATATTATACTGGAGCCACCAAAGTATACCGGTCCAGCATAATATTCTGGAAGTTCATGCACAAGTGTACGAAACTCCAGTATATTATGCTGGACCGGTCTCTGTTGCAGCAAAATAGTGGCTATTTTCAATGACTTAGCAAATGCTGACTATTTTTGAATGACCAGTCCGAAAGCTGGTTA